CAGGCTTCAGATTCTACTGTTTCAGGTCTCAACGTTAATATAAGAAACAGGGCAGGAAACGTAAGAGGTGGCATCAGTATCAACGTAAAAGCGGAACTGAAGTGCATGTTTACAAATAATCAACAAAATTTCCATTGGACAGCAATATGGGGAGTCTGACGCTCAAAAAAAAATTTTTTTTAAGGGTGTATCTACCTACAACTTTATAATAATGAGCTAGCAATCCAAGAAATAAACAAACCAATTAAGATTGCTACAGAGGCCCTCAAAATAAATTTTTGTAACTCTTGCTTGTTTCATGGTAACTTCAATATGAAACCCATTATTTATAAAAATGTTGGAAGAGGAGGTGTTTCAACAGAAGTCACTTTTTCCTTTGGAGAGTCTTCAACAATGGCGGGTGTGTTTTTATAACGGAATGGTAAAGATAAAAAAAAGAAAAAAAAGAAATTTAAACAAAAATTTTAATAACTTAACAAAAAATCTAATCAGTAAATAAAGTAAGAAATTTTAAAAAGAAAGAAATTAAAATTAACGAAAAAAGAAATAATAATAAATAAGTGAACATAAATTATAAAAAAAAAACGTCGAAAAAAAATCCAAATAAAAAGGAGAGAGTTTACGTCATATAAACTTTAAAAAGAATAGACAAAAAAAAAAAAAAATCAAATTTTTATTTCCCTAAACTTAACTAAAAGAAAAGATAAAAATCAAAAAAGAAAAGAAAAAGCTAAGAAAAAGAAAAACAGATGAAACCAACAAAAAAGTGGAAGAGAAGAAAGAAAAGATTAGGTTTTAGAAAATATTTTTGTAGCTTGTCTTTGTTGTAATTTTCATTTTTTTTATTTTATTTTAATTATAAAAAACAATTAATGTTACCATTTATTATTTTTATTAAATATTATATTTGTTAAATATTATGATTTTGTGTATGCTTTTCGTTTTGTAGTTTTTGTGTTTCTCTTTTCGTTTGCGTAAAGTTTGTTATTATTTGTACTAATTATTTTTATTGTTGGTTCCAGTTTTTCTATTTACCAAATTTTCTACACCTTTTTTTTTCTTTATTTCGCAAAAATAATTAAAGTTTGTCCTTATTTTTCAACTTTATTTTGTATTAAATTTTTTTTGTAGAAGTGTTTGTGTTTTGCCTTTTTCGTTTGTTTTTTATTTGTTCCGTTTTGCTTATTATTTTTATTTTTGTTTGCTGTTGTTATTGAGTTTTTTCATATTTTTTCTTTAATTATTTAACTTATCGTTATTTATCGTTATCGTTGTTTATCGTACTACTTAATCGTTATTATTACTATTTTATTTATTTTCTACGTGATTTTCGGTTCATATTTAATATTTTTATAATTATTTTATTATTATACTAATTGTTAAAATTAATTGTTGTCACTCATTTTGATTATGAATGACACTCATGTCATCATATTATTTGTATTATTATAGATAATATTACTGTTTTTAATTGTTATTGTTATAATTATTTAATGTCACTCCTTTGATCAGGCTTCTGTGTGAGTGACACCTTCCTTTTAAAATAATTATTTATATTTATCTTATTAGCTATATTTTATTTTAGTTATATTATTTGTATCATTATAGATAATATTATTATTATTATTTAATTATTTTTATAATTATTTGGTGTCACTCCTTTGATCAGGCTTCTGTTTGAGTGACACCTTCGTTTTCAAATAATTGTTTATATTTATTCTTATTAGTTATATTTTAATATAATTATATTATTTGTATCATTATAGATTATATTATTATTTTTATTATTGTTATTATATGATTATATGTAAAATTTGAAAAATAAAAATAAATATCTTGTTCTAGTTGTTGTTGTTTATAATGGTCCAATACTTAGGAATCATTAACACCACCACCAAAAATCGCTTAATTATCTCAGAGCAAAGCAAACTGCACCTCTATGTCAAAATGTATTGGAAGTTATAAATATATGGCGTTTTGAGATACGAGAAAGGAGAGAAGTACCTTAAGAACAGGTTTTAGGACTGCTTTGTGTTTTTCATCAAGGGTTTATCTGAATTAATTTTAGGTCATATTAAAAGCATTGATACGAATCTTGTTTCGTTTGCTCTGAAAATCAGACAAAATTATAATTATTTCATTTATCTTTTCTTATTCATTTTGAATTTTTTCCAGTTTGCGATATTTATCATTTTTTCTTCATTTATTCGTTTCAGGTGCTTAATCTTATAAGTACAAAAAAACTCATGAAGGATTCTCACTTAGTAAAGGCCTACAATATAGTTGTCAATTTTTTGAATTTTATTCTATTTCGAAAAAAATATTGTTATCGATGAGGTTTGATCTAAAAATATAGAAAACGAAAACTGAGGAATTTAAAATCATATTTTCATTGTCCATAAGACTTTGGGAAAAATGAGTATAAAATTGCGCAAGAGTTGCGGAACCTAAACTAAATTTTTTGACTTACTTAAATATTTTTCTTTCGTATTTGTCTTAACACTATATAATTATTTAATATTAAAAATAATTTAAGAAAGTTTAGCTGTCTGTACAGACGCCACAAAAGATTTAATTTAATATTGATAAATTAACAGTTAATCAAGTTTTTACAATGATATTTTTTTTGTTTTCTTGAACATTTATTATATTTGATTTCTTTAAGTAAAGTGCTTCTTTGAAAAAATTTCAATGTTTTTTAACAAGCTGTAAAAGACAATCTTTTTTCACAAGATGTAAACACATGCTTGATCTCTCTCTGCAACACCGTTGACGAAAGATATACTGCATACAATTTTTTAAGCAATCAAGCTTTGAATTTATTCCAATATTTTAGTGGATTGTTTAGCAACTCCAGAGATCTGCTTAATTTCAATAGAAATTAAAAAAAGGAAACCATGAATTTTCCATTATACAATAAAGTATCAAGAATTTTCTTTGTCACCTGAATTATAATCGGAGTCTTCGGTTTGTAAGGATTGAATATTTAAAGTATTGATTTGTTTTTAAGTTTCTATTCCATCATAGTCTTTTCTACGTAACTTACAGAATCATTAAACAAGTACATAAGTAAAACCCTCTTATAAGCATCCCAAGTGACGCTAAATGGATTTAATGGTTTCTACTGCACCTTCAAGGTCAATTGATTCAAACTACATAATTAATTAAAAGTAATGCAGGTCATTAACCGGACCATCAGCAGGAATAGCAGCCAGAAAAAAATAATACAATAAAAAAGAGGAATGCAGTTGGAAGTTTTTTAAACTTTTTTTCTCCTTTTTTTTATGCTTAAAAGTAAAAGCGGGATAAAATTTTTTGGGATAGTAAATGGTTTTTGACATCCAACTTGCATAATGATAGGGATTACCAATTACGGAAACTTCTTTTATGTCCAAATGATTAATTGATAAATTGAAAAAGGGTAGAACAAGCTCTAACAGTTTTAGTCTAAACAAGAAAAAGTTTTTTCTCTAAACATTTCTTTGTCAATTTTAATATTTTAATGGTACAAATAATACAAAAAGCAGTTTTAATCGTGGAGCCAGTTACTAAGGTCTTTTATACTTTTATAAAGGTTTTCTGTTATTACTTAGATATTTTGAAAAAATGTAGTCTTGGAAAGTTATTAGGACCAAAGATAGCACGAAGTATTGCTTTTATCAGAAGCTCTGGTATGTAATGTTTATATTCAATTTAGAATAGAAAACGACCGATTTCTTTGTCAATTATGATTGTAATTTCACTATTTGCAGCTTTTGGATCATAAACAAGTGTAATAACAGACTCTTTCAATTGCGACATGTTGTCTAACATCGTCACTAAACAACTGGCCAGTTCTATAGGCAACTTTCTCTTATAGCATTAAAATCTATTCTCTGGCACCTGACGGCATCACAGCTTGGGCTTGTAGTTGCAAGTAATTTTCAGTCAAATTAAAATTGGTAAATTTAGTTCCTATTGCAACTAATTTTTTTGTAAATAATATGAAAACTATACATTATCTTAAAGCATTATAATACCTCATATATATTTATATATAAATAGTATGCAAAAATATATATTTTTTGCAACCTGCAAAAACCTATCGTATATAGTTAAACACTCTTCAGCAGCAAACCTGCAACTTTTTTCAAATTTTGAATCTTTGCGTCTTTTTTTTTCTACAAATGCTACCATAGTCACTGTTCTTTTATCTTATACTGCACCTTATAAAGTTCAATATTTTAAATTTGACTTTTCGCTAGCTTGCATCTTTTTAACGTAAATGTTTATTAATTGATCTTTTAATCATACACAATTCATTTCTTCACATAAATTGCAATGTTTTATGTTTTTTTTTTTTACTACCTTGTTCTTTGAAACTTACAAGTATTGAAGTTAATGCCTGCATCTTTGTTATTAATAAAGTTTGTATTAAAAAGTTTAAAAAATTTAAAATTGCCTGAAAATAACTTATGGCTTTTTCTGATAAAGAAAAGTATTTAGTAAAACATATAAAGAGCGTCTGAGAAAGCAACTTTCCTTCTTCAAAAATATTGCTACTAGATTTTTGGTTTTGAAGTTTTTTGTTTTTCAAGTTAAAGTTTCAAGCTGAAAAGGAAATTTTTTATTAATGTTGAAGCGTCAGCGTTGTGAGTAACACTCAACGGTTTCATGTACAATATAAAAACCTGCAATTAAATTTAAGCTGAGTGACGAAAGTTAGTGCTTTGAATTGGAGCTTTTTATGTTTTTTCGAAAGCGAGGCAAAATATATTTTGTAAGAATATGAAAACTTTACTTATTTATTTTTTAAAAAAATTTCTTTGACAAAAACTTTTTGTCAAAAAAGCATTTTATAGAACTAAACAAACCAATTTTTATTTTCACTAAATTCTTTAAATGACGCTGGTTTAATACTGTCGCTGAAAACCTAACTAGAGCTAAAGATTGTTCTAAACCTTTACATAACACTAATAAAGTTCTACTCATTGAAAAAAAAAAAGAATAAAAACTTTTACCTGTGTTAAGATTACACACTACTGTGATTAACGCCTATAAAACAATTCTTAAGATAACATCGAGCTGTAAATAGTTAATTCGAAAATAAAATATTAAATTTAAATATTAATTTTTTACACTCTTCAAATTTAATATTTTTGATATTAACTTGATAATATTTTTTTTTGATATTAATTTTTTTTTTTTAATTACGAATATAGAGTAAACTGGGGTAAAAGTAAAAAAAATGCGAGTCTAAGTATTGAAGAGAAATTTGTGCTCTGTCGTAAGATGTAAAAATTGTTTTAAAAAATTTATCTTCTCACCGAAGTTTTTTAAAAAAATCAACTCAATTCAAAATTCTCAAAACTAAAATTAAGTTATATGACGATCGAGGTTCTTTTTTCTAAATCGAGTTTGCATGTGTCTGAAAGAAGTTATAAGTAAAAATCCAAGCTGACCGTTCTTATTTCAGTAATTTTCAGTTTAGCAGATTGAGGATTTGACAGAACGTTTGCAGTTGTCTCCGCAATAGTTCATCGCATTGTTTTGACAATGTTCTAACTGACATTTTTTCAAATTTTGAGAATATGCGTAAAATAAGCGAACTGCCAATAGGCAAAAGTTTTATCTGCATGTTTAGTCAACTAATATTTAGTTTGACAAGGTTCTAAATAATATGTTAGGGTAAACCCTAACTGCAGACTATTCTAAATTTTTTTCAGTTAAACATATTATGATAAAAAGTTTCATGAGAATTGGACTCATTATCTAAGGTATAGTGTTATAGTTTGATGAAAATGTAAAAAAGATTCACAAAAACGCTAATATTCTCTATTTTAACAAATCTTTTATATAACGCTACATTGCGCAGCAAAAAGTATTGGTTGACATTGAAATAACCAATAAAAGTAAAAGCAAATGGCTTTTATTAGATAAAACTATTTTTTAAAATGTAATAATGACAACTTAGTCTTCTCACAAACTTACCGTTAGTTGATGTAAGTACATTTTGCCGTGCGTATCCTTAACTGTCAGTTAATGAATGGACGAACTACATTAACTGTGTCCAGCCTCTAACGGCCAGTCATGCAATTTTATTACCCTTTGCATGACTCTAAAGGCAGTTTAATAAATGTATAATTTTGAATATAGTTAATGAGCAACTTAATACAGTTTTAATTTACTAGATAATAAACAATATACTATTAAAAAAATTAAACAATTTTTAATAAAATGTTTGTTAGCAATGCAAGCTGTATTACAAATAAAAAGTATTTTTAAATTAAAATAGTAACGTTGGAATTGAAAGCATTGTTTATAAGAGAAAGCAAAATATGATTAACTTGTCAGCATATTATACAACAACCAAACAACAATACTGAGCATTATGGACTGAATCAATGGAGGAAATACCGATTATCACTTTTCTAGTGTCATTGTTCAACTTGTGATAAAGTTAAACTTAGTAAAAAAACCTAACAGAAAAAATGGTGGCACGAGCCCATCAATTTCTAGAATTTTGAATGTTAAATCAAAGTTATAAACTTGGACAACTTTAGTGATTAGTACTCAGTGGTTTTTGGCTTTTAAGCCATAATGTTATGTTTATTAAATATAATATAACGGTAGAATCTTGTTAGATAATATGGTAGTTACTGTTTATTATACTTTTGTGATAGTTACAAAATTTAAAAGAAGTTAACTACTTCAATCACAAAACATTAATGTAGCTGAAATATTTGTAACTACCATTATAACCAAAGTTAGAATCTTGTCATAATTAAGATATGACATTATCATTATGACACGGTTCTGACTGCATTTGGGTTGTATTTATTTTCCAATTAAAAGTAAAACATATTTTAGTTACAAATATTAATACAAAAGGCAAATACCTATGTTATTATGGGTGAAAAATATTATCAATCGACCCTTATAAATTTTTCTGGCAGGAGCATAACAATTTTTGAAATTGATTTACTCAAAACTACTCACGGATCAGTTAGAACCTTGTCAAACCAACGCGACGAGTTGGGGGTTATTTGGTATCTATAAAGCATAGTCATCTGTTTCCACCAAATTGTATATAAAGACAATAAAATTATCAAGGTTTTAGGAAACAATTGATCAGGCAATACTTTCTCTCTCTAAGCTTTAGCTCGTTCCGGGGACAAAATAAAAAATTATTTCTAAACACATCAACGATAACATTAAGTATAAGTTGTGGAATTTTGACGAAATTGGATTTTTAAACAATTTTTTACTTTTTTCAAGTTAAAAATTATATAAGTTGCAAGCTTAGTGCTAAAGGATCTTTAAAGTTGGTTAATAACAATGAAAAAATTAATTCCAAAGTCTTTAATTGTGTTAACACTACCGATACTATTCTGGCACCATTCGTAGTTTACAAATAAATATCAGTCTGTACAAAGAGTGGTTTGTAGGGGACTACCAAACACCCTATTTACAACATCCAAGTTGTAAATACGGTGTTGGATAAATAAGAAACAGTTATTTATGGCTCATTAAAGTATTTATACAAAAATTAATTCCAAGTAATTAGTTTCGTCTATTTAAATTGAGTGGTTTAATCAATAACTTTTTCAACTACATACAATTTACAACGGCAACATTTATATATTAGTCTTGGACGGACACATTGCACATATTACTTTATCATGTTTCACGTATTTGCAATAACAATAATATTAGGATATCATGTTTACCGACTCATTTTTTATCATTATTCAACCATTAGACGTGGGTGCATTTTGCCACGTTAATTAGGTTTGGCATAAAAAAATTAAAGAATTTTACGCAGCTACAAATTTTAACAACTTAACAAAAGGAAGCTTTATGTAACTACAAGCTAAACCTTCTAGGTTTGGTGACGCATTTAAAAGAACACAAATAGTTGAAAGATTTCACAATATTGTTTTTTTTTCAATTTGATATTTGCATATTTGCTTAATCAAAACAACAAATGTCGAAGACTCGAAGGCAATATGAAAAACTTTTTACAGTGTAACCATGTTGACAAACGAAAAAAACCCAAAGGACTCGACATTGCAAGAGTTAAAGTCCAATGACTAATTACATCTGAGGTTAAACTTAAGCAGGATGATGAAAAGTTAAAGCTATTAAAGAAACGCAACATTTAGTTCAGAGAAGCTTCAGATTAATCTCAGCAAGTGCAACATTTAAAAAAACCGAGTGAAGACATCAAGAGGCAAAGAAAATGACGCAGAGCTCAGGAAGAAGCATCAAAACAATATGTGGTAACATTGTGAAGCTTTTAGATACAAGTCTTAGGTTTGTCGATCGTGTTCACTAAAAAAACACAAAATTGATAACCAAGTTCTTACCATGACAAGCAATTCAACTTTATTTGATAAAAATTTTTTTTTTGATTAGAATAATGTTTTTGTAAACTTTACTCCTAATAAAGTTCGTTAATAGAAAATAAGGAAAAATGCAAATCATTTTTTTCAATTTTTATTTATTTATATATTTTTAAAACATCTCTTCATACCTAGAAAGCAAAACATGAAAAAAAAAAAAAAAAAAAAAAAAGAACTTGAAGCTAAATTATTTATTTTTAGCCCAGTTTACTCTAGAATTTATTAGTTTGATAGCCAACTTATTAAAGGTATATTTTTTATTTTATTTTTATTATTTTTAAAAACTATTTTGCTACTTTTTAAATATAAAGTCTAACTTTATATTTAAATATTTTTTATGTAGCATTATACATAGCCTATGTTTATTTTAGTAACTTCAATTTAAGTTGAAAAAAAAAGAACAAAAAACTAATGCAATTTAAAAATATTTGACAAAAAAAAAAAAAAAATTGAGTTTGAAGCTAAATCGTTTATTTTTAGCCCAGTTTACTCTATAATTTATTAGTTTAATAGCCAACTTATTAAAGCTATGTTTTTTTTTTTGAAATTTTTATTATTTTTTTAAAATTATTTTGTTACTTTTTAAATATAAAACTTAACTTTATACTTAAATATTTTTATGTAGCATTATACACAGCCTATGATTATTTTAGTAGCTTCAAATTATGTTAAAAAAAATGAAGCAAAAACAATTAAAAAAATGAAGCAAAAACAATTTAAAAATATTCGACAAAAAAAAAAAAAAAAAAATGAATATGCAAATATATATTTTTTTATTTTTATTCTGATTCACTCTAAAGTAGACTTGTGCAGCCACTATTAAGCTGGGAGTTAGTAGAAAACAAAAAATAGCGGTAAAAAGCAAAAAAACAGAAGACAGTAGACTTGAAAAGTTGTAAATTACACGAGTCAGGAAAACATGAAGATAGGAGAGTTCCAAAAGGCTTAAGTGTAGACAAAAAAATACAAATGAATAAAAATACTTACAGCATGCAGGCAGAGATGCAGTAAAACAATTAAACTTTGCTGAGTTACAAACTAAATAAAATTAAGATTTGGGTAATGTAACTAGAGACGATAGCTTCTATAGACTGGAACAGTGATAGTATTTAAAACTTTTGTGCTCACACTATTTTAAAAAAACTTAATTTTTTAGGTTTAAAGGGCAGCCGAACTGCTAAAAACCCTAATTTAATTAGGGTCAGCAATAACTTTTTGAGTGAACGGACGCATTTCTGCAGAGTGGTAGTTTGAACTTTTAAAAAAATTTTCAGTTTTACACTTAAGCATAATAACAGAACTTATAAAATTATACTTTTTCTCTATTTCACAAAAGGGCATGATGATAAGATACTTTGTCTTTTTCGCCCTAATAAGAGAGTTATTAGAAGAACCAACCCAAACATGACAATAGTATTTCATACATGGGCATATAGGAAACTTATGAAGTTAGAGAATGGAGTAAAAAAATGGCAAGTACGATAAGGAATAGCAGCCCTAGCAGATGCTAACTTAGCGATCAATTGTTTTTATGTTTTCCTTAGAGATCACTCGTGAACGATCACCCAATAAAAGGTAAAGAAGTGAGAAGGTTGCCATTCATAAATATAGGAATATTTACAGTATTGCAATAGTTTGTTGCAGTAAACAACTGTTTTATTTGAGTCTTTCAACCTTTAACTAATACCCAATATAACATTTAGTCATAAGCAGTTAGCAAATCAGCCGTAGAACAAAAAGATTATAAATTGCATTGATTATCTAACAGTAAGTTATTTGATTATTGGGCAATAATTAAAGGGGTCAAAGTGTTCTCCAGAGTTTTGAAAAGCTAACTACTATGCAATATTTGAGTAGGCAGGAAAACAAAATTCAATCAAGCTTTTAATAAAAAGTTTAAAAAGATTTCAATGATTTCTAGAAAACACCTTTGTATGTTTATGACAAAAAAGTTTGTTCAGATTACAAGCCGTAGAAGAGTTTAATTGATATATACCTTTATCAATGTAAGCTTGAGTTAAGCTACCTTGTCTTAAATGTCTAACTATGGGTTAACCTGTTCGACTAAAATGGGAGGTAAAGTATTGCCGTAAAATTCAAGAGGCACAAGAATCAACTATAATTTATTTTTTTGATCAATGTTTAGTTCTATTTTCGAGAGATGTAATAAGATCAGTTCCATGATTGGGTAATAAAATTTTGCAACTGCATTTAATAATAACAATTTTGAAGATTTTCCGAATGTCTCTAAAACTTACGTTCTGGGAAAAAATACAAGATTCAGTGAACTGGGAATTATAGAGATGAGCATGAGACAGCAACCTTTTAGATTAATGACTTGCAAAAATAAATAGCCATTTGCTCTCAAAAATGTTTTTTTTTGAAAAAGATGAAAAAAATGATCACGATTTCAAATATCAGCTGCACAATAAAGTGAAAACTATTGAGAAAACTGAGGCTTAACTAAGATTGAAAAAAGTCTCCAGTTTTATATGGATCCAGGAGTTTATGTAGGAGGCGCATTTATCAACAAAGAGAAAAAAAATATTAGCCCAATAACCACTAAAAATAAAGTTGCAAAAATATTCGAAGTCAGCTTTAAGGTAGGAAAAGATAGTACGATGATATGGTGAGTCCAAAGAAGAAGCACAATGAAAGATCCCAAATCCCAAGACTGGTCACAAATTATGGAGTTAAGGTGTGGGATTAACTTTGTCAGGAAAAAAAATCACATAGGCATAAATCTGAATAAAAAAGTAAGTTATTAGTGCCAGCAAAGTCCGTGATGTTAGAGTCAAGCCATTTAGTATGATGAACATTTATCAACAACTACGAAATTGACAGAAGGGTGAAAAAAAATGGCATCACTACTTTGATCAGAAGTTACATTTAAAAAGAACAAAAATACCCTAAAAAGTTATTTCCCATACCCCAAAAGTAAGGGCAGTAAGTTAATGATTTTATTTTTAACTAAATTAGCAGGTTTTAAAATTTACGAAATAATCTTTCAAAGATAAAATGGTATGACCATAGAAAATTTACAATCTCATTACTTTGGAAGGGTTGACATCTTAATAAGTCCTTACTTTCAAATCTAAAATATTGTTACATAAAATTTAAAAAATACCAACGCAGTCAAATTTAGTATAATTTAATACAGGTAATAAATTCATTCATTAACTCTATGCCCTCACTGTTGGGATAAAGGGAATAACATTTTAGGGTATTTTTGTTTCCAGACTCTAATCACCGCAATTTTTGGAAAGTATTATTATTTGACATTAGCTAAATATACTTACATTTGGCGTTTGTGCCACGTCTAAAAGAGTTAAAACTGTGACAAAAAAAAAATCAATTTGCGCTACTGGAGTTATATAGTTTTTAAGGGTCAAATTGGATTTAGATGGCATCCTATATAAATAAATAAAATTGTTTTTAATTGTGAAATCATAATAAAAATAAACAAAAAAAGTTCATACAAGTTACAAGTTTTCTAGTAAGAAGTAAAAGCTTAACGTCTTCGGGAGGAAGCAATTCCACTTTCTTTATGCTTCGCAGCAAACTGCTTACTGGATCTGAGCTACACAGCAGTCGACTCATTAAATCCAGGTTTTTTTTTTCTTGAAACTTGAGATTTAAAGAATTCTGTAAAGTTTTTTACATCTTTGTTTCTGCACTCCAATGCTTCTTTAGAAAGCAATACATAGTATGATGTATAAATGAGAGTTATATATTCCATAGGAAAAACTAAATTTACTAATTGCGTTGCTTTTCTCATAAAAAGTATCTAGATCATTCATTTTACTTGGAGTTGCCCCACAAATATAACAACAAAGAGTTGATTTAATTAAATCACTGAGGGCTGTTGTTACTTTGCCACCCAACATAGTCATTCCTAGTAAGTGTTCAATAAAAAAATTTCAACAAAAGTAAATTTCTTGTTTGATATGGTTTAGCTCCTAAACAAGAACATCTTTGTTCTCTAAAATATATCTAAAAAGTATTGGTCTGCAGTACAAAGTTAATAAAGGCTTCTCGTTAACCCATAGAAATTCAGATGTAGCTACTACAGAAAGTTGGAGTGGTACTAAGCATGTCAGTATTAGACTTTTCTCAACAGAACAATCTTTACCAGTACAGTCTTAGGTTTTCTGTTTATAAACAGATGGTCCAACAGTTGATAGTTATCCTTGGATAATTTGCATTGTAATAACAGAGTAAGTGCTTCATTACTACTTTGGCAACCACACTGCTGTACTACTCCATCATCTTTCCTACAGTATACATCTTTACTACCAGTATTTCCTGCAATACCTTTTAACTTTCAATTTATCTTGAGATGCATCATAGCAGCAGATAAAAACACATCTGTAGACTTTTGACTGTAGAGTTCTCTCTATATTAATTTATTTGTCCAGTTCGATCCATCAAAAAATTCTAATGTAGGTCATTCCCGTCCTGAAAGTTAATGGGGGATTAAAGAAATTTATTTAATTTTTTTTTGTAGAAAAGCATAATATCTTCACGCATTATTTTATATATTAGACTAATGAAGGCACTTAATATATGTATAAAATGTTTTAATACTCTAGCCTTTAAAAAAATTTAAATAAATATTATATAGATTTGCTCAAAAAAAAGGGTCGGTAGTCTTTGAAATCTAAAACATAAATTTTTTGAGGATGAATATTTTCATACAACTTTAAATCCATTCATGTTGTAGATAACTTTAAACATTTAATTATTGACAAAATAAAGACAACATTTAAATATTGTCTTTGACAACATTACATTTGCATAGAAGACATCTAACATTAAATGATTATTATATACATTTATTACTATATACTTACTAGGACCTGAACGTTGATTATTTTCTACAGTCTTGACATCGCCATCTAACCAGTTCTGGTATTTATTCTCAAACCGTATCCTAGTTCTGTTATTCTCTATTCATTTCCTTTTAAGATTGTTCACAAAATCCCGTTTAATCTCATCCGATATATTAAAACTCTTTAAATTAATGTCAGCCTCGAAATGTACTGTACTGTTAATCTTCTTCTCCCATTTAGCTTCTTAAAGTTTATAGTGCAAATTTCGCCCCTTCATCATGTTAAAATTTTATTTAATTTTTTCAATTTTAATTATTAAAAGGATTTTGTAGTATATTTATTTTGACCAAAAATCGTTACATCGCGCTGTAGCGGTTTGTGGTCAACGCTGCATTGACTTGTGGTCCATTTAAATATAATTGATCAACGCGTTGGTAGCTGGTGTTTATTATATACTTAACTACTTAAATCAACGGCTTGAATAAAATTTTTTTAGCAAATTATATATATATTTTAGTAAAACAGTATTTCTGTTAAATTTTTAATGAATGGTCAATCTTTTACAATACTTTACAATATGCGGATGACGGGGTAAATATACCAGAAAATCTTTTTACAAAGTGTTAAGTAAAGTAATACAGTATGCATTTAAATTAGTTTTATCTTAAAGTATTACAACGTTTGGGTAATCTATTACCCCAAAGTTTTTTTTACATAAAAACTTGTAAAAAATATGTCTTAATAATGTTAAAAATCACTGTTTTTTAAATAGTTATAAAGTTATAGGTAAAATTGTATAAATATTTTGAAATTCCATAACGATAGATTATTTCTATATGTAACAGATGTGTTCCCAGTATTTATATGTATTTCAAGTTTTTCACACATATTTAAAATTCTTTTTTTTCTTTTAAGCAAAACGTTTACAAAATTAATCAAGTGCATTATAAAATAAACATTTATAGCCATTAACATATGTGTGTTAATTAGAAATGATTAAAAAAGTCAATATACGAACTTTCATTTTGACCATTTTACTGAACTCTAGCTCACTGTGCAGTGTGCCCATATGTACACATTGATCCATCCTCTATAGGTTTTTCTAATATCAGCTGATAACTATTAAAAAATTTGTTTTATTTTCTTAAAAATTTTTTTCTGCCAAATTTTTCTGGTTCTGCAAAGTTGTTAATAATTGAAAAAATAATTTCTCATCAAAAAATCGAAATTTGTTTATATAACAAAATAACATATTTTAGTTTTTTGCTGCATTCCTTATTTCTTTTTATTGTTTATAGCTCCATTTAGTTTTTTAAATGACTTTCTACTTAGTCTAATGTCAATTTTAAGTAAAATGCCTATATTCTAAAAATCCTAATAGTAATACTAGTATTGCAAATATTTAATATCTAATGAATGCTTTGTATGCTTTGAGTAGGTAGTGCATATCTGACCATGAAATAAATATTAGTATACCACAGAGTACTGTAATAAAACCTATTTCAGATGGATCAATTTAATAAAATAATTTCGGCATGAATTTGACATGCTTAAATTTGTTTGATTTTAAAATAATACTTTAAATTTTAAAAGCTCATTTTTTGTTTCGTAGTAATAATTACAAAATAAGCAAAATATATTGTAAGAAAGTAGTATATCTATTAGAAGTTTGATGTATATACACACAGAGGCGCAGAAAGATCACGAAGCTTGGCAGGGAAGGCTTGAAAACATATTTTAAAAGTAAAAAAGTTCCTTAATTTCATTTAATAAAGCAAAATAAATAAAAGTTATAAGTATGCCAATCAATTGTTATCCCACGTGACATGATGGCTGATGGTCGGCGAGTTCTTTGAATTGACGTCTCGCTGACTTCCAAATCACCATTTTTATATTTTACTTCCTTGTAGAATTGATCAAACAATGTATCTACTAATTTTTTAATTAAATAAAATGCCTTTGTTTGCAAAGGCTCTAAAGTCTGCTCTGTTGTATAAAAAAAAAAGAAAACACACCTTCATACTGAAACTGTTATACCACGTAGTTACTTGCCACTTAGTAATACTATTTTTATTTGTAATAATGATGTTAAATATAATTCAAATAAAAAAAAACTCTAATATAAACAATATAATTCCTATAATTTTAATTATTCTAAGTTTATTAACAATAAAAGTTATTAATAAAGATATATTTCTTTCTTATCATTTAAATAATGATTTTTTAAATTTTAATTTAATAAACCATCATAATTTTCATAATCTAGCTTTATTTTTTTACTCTCAATATTCTATAAATTTTATATTAATTAGTATTATTTTATCTATAGGCATGATAGGAGTAATTGTTTTAACAATTACTTATAATTATAATTCAAAAAAAATATTTATTCAACATTTAAGAAATAATTCATGAAATTAAATTTGTTTATTTATTTATCTTTAAGTTTTATTCTTAGTTTTATAGTTTTATTTTTTTCAATTTTTCTTTCTTTTAAATCACCAGATAAAGAAAAAGTTTCTTACTATGAATGTGGATTTAATCCTTTTCATTCGACTGGTCAACCATTTTCTATAAGATTTTTTTTAATTTTTATTTTATTTTTAGTATTTGATTTAGAAATAATGTATTTATTTCCATGATCAGTAAATTCAAATTTAATAAACTATTATTCGCAATCTAATATATACTTATTTATAATTATATTAGTTATAGGATTAGTTTATGAATGATTAAGAGGAGGTTTAGAAAGAGAGTAATGTTATTTGATTTTAATTTATTAGTAGTAATTATGTTTTGTATTAGTATTATAGGAATAATTATAAATAGGAGCAATATAATATTAATTTTAGTTAGTATAGAAATTTTATTATTATCAATTTCAATAAATTTTATGTTAACTTCATTAACTAATATTTCTTTAGAAGGTCAAATAATAGCAATATATATATAATAACTATAGCTGCTATTGAATCAGCTATTGGATTATCAATAATAGTAGCTTTTTATAAAATAAAAAGATCTATTTCTTTAAAATTATTAAATTTATCAAAAGGATAATGAAAAATATATATTTAATTATTTTAGAAATTATAAAGTTTTTAACAATTGTTATTCCAGTTTTAATCTCTGTAGCTTACTTAACTTTAGCAGAAAGAAAAATTTTAGGTTATAGTCAAAATAGAAAAGGTCCTAATGTAGTAGGAATATATCGATTATTACAACCTTTAGCTGATGGTGTAAAATTATTTTCAAAAGAATTAATTATTCCTAATCATGTTAATATTTTTTTTCTTTATTTATTTTCTCCTATATTGGCTTTAAGCTTATCATTACTTATTTGAATAATTATTCCATTAGGAATTACTAATTTAATTTTTGATTTTAACTTGGGAATTATGTTTATCTTTGCTATTTCTTCTATAAACATATATTCTATTCTTTTATCTGGATGATCAAGTAATTCTAAATATGCTTTTTTAGGTTCATTAAGAGCTGCCGCTCAAATGATAAGTTATGAAGTTTGTATTAGTTCAATTATTTTTTCTTGTATTTTATGTGCTGGAACTTTAAATATCTATTCTTTGATAAACTCACAAAGTCAAAGTATTTCTTATATTTTCCCTTTATGACCTATTGCTATAATGTTTTTTATATGTTTACTAGCAGAAACTAACAGAGCTCCATTTGGTTTAACTGAAGGAGAGTCAGAATTAGTTTCTGGTTATAATGTAGAATATTCTTCAACGTCTTTTGCTTTATTTTTTTTTAGCAGAATACTCTCATATAATATTTAGTAGCGCTTTTTTTGTAATTTTATTTTTAGGGGATTGAAATAATTATTTTTTTATTAATAATTTTATTTTCTTTTTAAAAATGATTCTATTTGTATTTTTATTTATTTGAGTAAGAACTTCTTTTCCTATATTAAGATATGACCAATTAATGAGTTTATTATGAAAGTCTTATCTACCATTAAGTTTATCATTTATTTTATAACAAATTCTTTATTATGAGCTTTTTGAGGTTTATCTAATAAATGATGTATATAACTTTTCTTTTATTAATCCCACTTCTAAGTATATTAAACATTTTATTAGCTAAAAGAAATAGTAATAATATTTTTAATATTTCTTTATTTTGATCTTTAATACTATTATTATATTATATAGTATTTTTTGTTTTAAACCATAAGATTTTTAATTTTCAATTTAGTATAAATTTTAATTTATTGTTAATTAATTCAATATTTGTTAATTGAAACAATTTTATTCTTTCTGTTGATGGAATATCTATATTTTTTATTGGATTAAGTATTTTATTGATTCCTATATGTATATTGATTAGTTTAAAATCAGTAAAATATTTTAAAAAACAGTTTAATATATTATTATTTATATCAGTTATTTTATTGATTGGAGTATTTTCTATTTTAGATATATTATGATTTTATATTTTATTCGAAAGCATATTAATACCTGTTTTTATTATGATTGGTATATGAGGGTATAGAGAAGAAAAAATTAAAGCTGCTTTTTTTTTTTTTTCTATACTTTAGTAGGATCTTTATTAATGTTAATAAGTATATTTAAATTATATTCTTTAATTGGAACTACTAATTATGAAAATTTGTTGATCATAAAAATCCCATATGATATTCAGTTTTGATTATATATAGGGTTTTTTATAGGTTTAGCTGTAAAAATACCAATGGTACCATTTCATATTTGACTTCCACAAGCTCATGTGGAAGCACCGATAGCAGGTTCAATTTTATTAGCAGGGATACTTTTAAAATTAGGAGGATATGGGTTAATAAGATTTTGTTATCCAATGTTTCCTTTAGCTTCTCAATTTTATTATCTATTAATCATTATAATAAGCATAATAGCCATAGTTTATGGCGCTTTAACTAAATGTCGTCAAATAGATAGAAAACGTTTAATTGCTTATTCTTCAGTATCTCATATGGGTTTAGTAACTGTAGGTATTTTTTCACATTCTATCGAAGGATTAACAGGATCAATATTAATGATGATTGCTCACGGTTTTTCTAGTTCAGGTTTATTTATTATAACTTCAATTGTTTATTTCAGATTTCATTCTAGAATTATAAAATATTTTAGAGGTTTAACTATTACTATGCCTATCTTAAGTATAGTTACATTTATTTTAATTTTAGCTAATATCTCATTTCCATTAACATTACATTTTATAGCTGAGTTATTTTTAATAATTTCAGCTTTTAAATTTTCTTTATTTATAATTTTATTAATCTTATTAGGTGTTTTTATAAACTTAATTTATTCTTTATGAGTTTATAACAGAATGTTTTTTGGTTCTAATTCAATTCATTAAAAATTTTCAAGAGACATAGTAAATTTCGAATTTCAAAGTCTACTACCATTAATAATATTTATTGTTATATTAGGAATTTATCCTAATATATTAATTAATTTTATAACATTTAGTTCTTATATTAATATTTCTATATAATGAGAATTAGAAAAAATAACCATCTTATAAAACATATTAATTCTACTTCAATAGATCTTCCTTCTCCATCAAATATAAATTATTTATGGAATTTTGGGTCCTTACTAGGATTGTGCTTTGCAATTCAATTGGTTACTGGTATTTTTTTAGCCATGCACTATTGTGGAGATATAATTTTAGCTTTTAAATCAATAGTTCATATATGTAGAGATGTATATTATGGATTTTTACTAAAATCAATTCATGCTAACGAAGCTTCTTTGTTTTTTATCTGTGTTTATATTCATATAGGTAAAAGTTTATATTATGGGGGTTATCAAAAAAAACCTATTTGATTTTCGGGGATAATTATATTTATAGTAATGATGATTACTGCTTTTATAGGTTATGTTTTACCTTGAGGACAAATGTCTTTTTGAGGGGCTACTGTTATCACAAATTTTTTATCTGCAATTCCATATATAGGAGATGATATAGTTCAATGAATTTGAGGTGGATTTAGTGTAAATAATGCTACCTTAGGTAGATTTTTTAGTCTTCACTATTTATTCCCGTTTGTATTAGCATCTTTAATTTTAATTCATATAGTGTTAACTCACAGTGTTGGATCTAGTAGTCCTTTAGGAATTAATAGCAATTTTGAGAAAGTCCCGTTTCATTGATATTTTGCAATAAAAGATATATATGGATTTTTTATATTAATATTTATTTTACTATTCATAGTATTTTTTTATACTAATACTTTAGGAGATCCAGAAAATTTTATTAATGCCAATTCATTAGTTACTCCCGTTCATATAATGCCAGAATGATATTTTTTATTTGCTTACGCTATATTAAGATCTATTCCTAATAAATTAGGAGGAGTTTTAGCTTTAATCCTAAGTATAGTAATATTATTCATTATTCCATTTTTACACACCAATAAATTTTTTTCATTAACTTTTAGACCAATAGGGAAATTATTATATTGAGTATTTATAGCAAATTTTATTTTATTAACTTGATTAGGTTCTAAACCTTTAGAAAATCCTTATATATTAATTAGTGTAATTTCTAGTTTATTTTATTTTTTTACTTTTTATTTATTATCCCAATAATAAGGAAATTAGAAAATTATTTATTTTTTCAAAAAATAAGTGTATAATAGAATCACACGTTAAATGTTTTCAACTAATCACAAAGATATAGGAACTTTATATATAATATTTGGCGCATTTTCTGGAATGATAGGAACTGCTTGAAGTATGTTAATTAGAATAGAACTATCAGCACCAGGAAGAGTAATAGGAGATGATCATTTATATAATGTTATAGTCACAGCTCATGCCTTTGTAATTATATTTTTCTTAGTTATGCCAGTTTTAATAGGAGGTTATGGGAATTGATTTGTACCAATATATATAGGAACTCCGGATATGGCTTTTCCCAGGTTAAATAATTTAAGTTTTTGATTATTTCCTCCAGCATTAATTTTACTTTTAACTTCATCCTTAGTCGAGCAAGGAGCAGGAACAGGTTGAACTGTTTACCCCCCATTATCTGGGCCTTTAGCTCATTCAGGGGGATCCGTAGATTTAGCTATTTTTAGTCTTCATTGTGCTGGATTTTCTTCAATTGCAGGAGCAATTAATTTTATTACAACTATTTTTAATATGAGAACACCGGGTTTAACATTTGATAAACTTCCTTTATTTGTATGATCAGTATTAATAACAGCATTTTTATTACTTCTTTCTTTACCTGTTTTAGCAGGAGCAATAACTATGTTATTAACTGATAGAAATTTTAATACTACTTTTTTTGACCTAGCTGGAGGAGGAGACCCTGTTTTATATCAACATTTATTTTGATTTTTTGGTCATCCTGAAGTTTATATTTTAATAATTCCAGAATTTGGAATTATATCTCAAATTGTACCTATATTTAGCTCAAAAAATCAAGTCTTTGGATACTTAGGTATGATATATGCTCAATTGGCTATAGCTTCTTTAGGTTTTTTTGTTTGAGCTCATCATATGTTTACTGTAAGAATGGATGTTGATACTAGAGCCTATTTTACAGCAGCTACTATGATTATTGCTGTTCCAACAGGAATTAAAATTTTTAGTTGATTAGCAACAATGTATGGAGGAAAAATTAATTTATCTACACCTATGTTATGAGCTACTGGTTTTATATTTTTATTTACTCTAGGTGGATTAACTGGTGTAATTTTAGCTAATGGATCAGTAGATATTTTATTACATGATACATATTATGTAGTAGCTCATTTTCATTATGTTTTATCATTAGTTGCAGTATTTGCTATGTTTGGAGGATTTTATTTTTGATTTGGAAAAATTTCTGGATTTGCTATTAATGAAATTTTTGGTAAAATTCATTTTTGAATTACTTTTATAGGAGTAAATTTAACTTTTTTCCCTCAACATTTCTTAGGGTTAGCAGGAATGCCTAGAAGATATGCAGATTTTCCACATAGTTTGTTTACTTAAAATGCTATTAGCTCTCTAGGTTCTATTATTTCTATAATAGGAGTAGTATGATTCATCTATGTAATTTTTGATGCTTTCTATTCAGAAGAAAAATTTATTTCTTGAAATAACTTAGATGTAGAAAAAATAGATACTTTAGAATGATCATTAAATTGCCCACCTAATCATCATACTTTTAATGAATTACCTTTTATAAACCATTCAACCCATTAAAAATAAGGGAATTAAAAAAACTTTTCGGTTTTCTTCTCTCCTAAAAGAGGATGACCCAACCCCCCCCAGACCCAGACGCAGCACTGGCGCACCCCCTGCTGCGGCTATCGCAGCAGGCGCCGCACCAACCCCCCATGGGGGGTTGGTACGGCGCACTAACTCCCCCCCCCCATGGGGGGTTGGTGCTTTCAACGACCCAAAATTATCTAATACCAATCCTCCAATATTTGCCATTGAATTTTTAAAAACCTTTTAATTAGTTTTTCCTTTAGCGCTTTATAGACACAAGAATGAAAAGTCCAGCAAGTTGGACACACTGACTTTAAGTTTTTAAAGGGACTTCTGTTATCGTTATCAAAAGCATCTGATTCCTAAATCTATCAAAGACATTTAATTTCATAGGTGAAATCTTTTATATTAGGAATTATGAATACAAGTGACAGACTGCCTTGGACAAAAGTACATTGCCTAGTACAGTCTTGCAAACAAAAATTCAAACAATTTGCGAAACAGTGGACAGAGATTGCTGTGTTGCTTTACTCTTTCAATAGTAATACTAGTTCACGTAATTATCTTGACGAATTTGCTGCCCTATAATAACCTTCACAGGAGTTTTCAGGGCTTAAGAAAAATTGGAGAAAAACATCAATAGCAGTTTTTGTTATAGACTCGGATCAAGTTGTTCCAGTTCATAAAAATCAAGGAAGTCTTCGTAAACATTATACTTTTATTAATCCAACGTATAAAAACGGACAACTGCTGTTTGTTTGAAATATCCTGGGTTCATCTCTGGACTTTTCAAATAAACGTTATAATGGCAAAGTATTTTAAACTCTGCATATTTGATAACAACTTTAAAATCACTGCTCGACCATAAAGTTACCTTATACCTACCAATACCTTACAACAAAACAAAAGTCCATAACTAAATAATATTATCGTTGTAAAAAAACGTCTCCAATATTATTGAATATCCCCTTCTGCTTATCTGTAATCTGTCTTTAATATATGGGTACTCCGTAACCAGCTAATGCTAGAAAAAGTTCCTATATTTAAAAGCGGAGATGATTCTATTGCTTCTAAATATAGACCTATTTCTAATTTGTCATGCATTTCAAAAATATTTGAACGCATAATGCACAGTAGGCTTAACAATTATCTAGTAAATCATCACCTGCTAAATAATAACCAATATGTTTTTCAAAAACACCATTTAACAGAACACGCTGCAGTTAAACTTGTCAACAAAATTTTAAATGGATTTGACAACAATAAATACACTCTTTGGGTATTTCTCATTGAAAATATTGATATTATGTATTAAAGAAAACATCTCCTGAATACAAATTGTTTAAAAAATATTTGTTTTGCATTAATTTATAGCTAGATCAGCTACTGCAACATTATCTGGGTAAATATTCATCCTTCAATGTTAAATACGATCAACAAAATACAAAAACGAGCAAGCCGCTTCATATTAAATGCAAATAAATACGTTAGTGCCAAACCACAACTATGAGAAAATAGAGTACCTAATGTCAATGAAATAAATATTTTTAATTTACTCATTTTTATGTTTAAGTTTAAAAATGGTATGATGGCAAGCATTTTCCAAACTTACTTCTTTAAACCGCAAATACGAAACTAAATACTCAATAAATAACTTAATTATACTAAAAACATTATCAAAACAAGCTGATTTATTGATATATCTTGCCGAGGACCGCGGTTCTGGAACTTGCTTATAACAAGTAATATAAAAACTTTAAATTCAACTCAACATTTTAAAAGTGCAACAAAACAATCCTTATTTGATTTTGATACAAAACAATTACTATCCTAGTTTTAAAAATTTTTAATAATCTTAGTTATGTAGTGTCTTATGATTTAACGAAAAATTTTAATTTCATTGAATGGTACTTAGAACATGTGTGATATTATTTTATTTTTTTAATAATAACCCAATTTGTAAATAAAATATTTATTATATCTTACGCAATTTGAATATGGAATATAAAACATACTTATTTGATTTTTTATGTATACATAAGCGGATATATATTTGTGTGTACGTGTGCGTATGTGTGTGCGTGCGTGCATAATAAAAATAAAAGCAGAACAAAATAGAGAACTAAAATAATAAAAATAAGAATAAAAAAGAATTAATTTTTTTTCTTTTTTTCTGTAATAATTAATTGATTGTTAAATCAGTTCTCGCTTTAGTTTTTTTTTCCTTTTACCTTCAAAATTAAATTTATGAGTAAATAAAAAGTATATACATTCATCCTATGTAGGTCGTTTTGTTTTCCATTTTTATCGGCTGGTTTTTTCAGTTAAATTAAAGGGGCAGGATAATGAGACCATGTCTTCTCCCAGCTACGTTCAAAACTTTAATGTAATATTTTTGTGTTGAAAAAACAATGTAAAAGACTATTTTTCAATGACGAATATATATATATATATATATATATATATATATATATATATATATATATATATATATATATATATATATATATATATATATATATATATGTATATATATATATGTATATATATATATATATATATATATATATATATATATATATATATACATATATATGATATATATATATATATATATATATATATATATATATATATATATATATATATATATATATATATATATATATATATATATAAATTTAAGTATTGATTTGAAGAAATTGTAGCATTTTATTTCCATGATTTATGTGTATATCTAATGTTGTTAAGTTTATATCTCATGTTTGTGTGTATCATATGTTTATGTGTGTATCTTGAGTTGTTTTATTGTATTTGATCATGCTGGAGTTTATAAAACTGAGTTTTTTTATATGATTACCCAAAAATAAAATTCAACTTGCGTCTCGTAATTAATGGCGTGGCATAGCTGTAGTGCAATGCATGGATATGGTAATTATAATATTTGAGTGACATAAGTATTAAAGCCACACATAGGCTTTAAGTGGCAAGTAACTACGTGGTATAACTACAATAATATTACAGACCCACATAAACGTTGTCCCATAAACTAAGTGTGGCTATCATTAAATGATCTTTCAAGTGTAAACTAAATTTTCTTTACGGTTAATGATTTTATTTTATTATTACATATAGAAAACAGAATGTTTAAAAATATATATACGTACCAAATATATTAAGATTAAAACTTTCATTTTCTTTCAAAATTTTTTTTAGTTTCTTAATATTTGTGTCAAAGATTTAATTTATTTTTTCATTTTTAAGGTTTAAAACTTGAAGTTTTGAAGTTTTGAGTATGTATGTAGTTTACATTTTAGTATTAAAAATTTATAAGTACAAGCAATAAGTTTGTAATCTTTTACATTTTTCTCTGAAATAAGTTAGTTGGTTGAATAAAAACGCAACGGTAATAATTTATTTAATGGTTAGAAACTATATCATATGAATAAATTTCTTAAAACAGTAAATTATGAATAAAGATTTTGATAATTTAAACAAGTTAAACAATGTTATATTTTTTCATCAATTGTATAACTCGACGATATAAACGTTAATCAGCAAAACAAAAACAACTGTAAACTCTAGCATTGCATTTTACACTATATATTGTTTTAAATTCATCATTATTGGTTTATTTCTATTTTATACAAACAAAATTAGTAAAACCTAATAATAATTTTTTCTTCTTAGAAACAATTAGAGAATGTCAGATAATATTTTCCCATACATTTATTGGGTCTAAAAATAACGATCATGATAACCATTTGATGTTATTAGCTTGAATGTTTAGCTATTAGCTTGGCGCTAAAAGCTAAACATTTAAAGCGGAAGCCTACTTTTTATTGGTTTCAATGTGTTCAGTCTTCTCCTGATAACTTAAAAAACTTTAGAGTTTGATGTAGATAATGAACAGACTTACAAATAAACACAGTGCTAAAGTAAGTTTTCAATTTCTTTTATTTTTTTCTCATTTTTTTTACGCTGTTTTTAACAATTTAATTTTGTGTTGCGGTTGTGATTTTTTGCTTCTAGATGAAGGTACAAAGAACTTTCAAAAAAACTAAGTTTATTGGATTTAAGTTTCACAAGTAAACAATGAAAAAAACCAAAAAAAAAAAAACAAAAAAAAAAAAAAACAACTAAGCAAAATAAAATTAACAAAAGGTTAATTAATAAAATCAAGTAACAGCATTAAATAGTTTAATAGAAAATCGAGAACCTGTTCTTCTATAACTTATACTAGATAATAAAAGCTAAAAAATAATTAAAAATAATCAACAATAATTTATATTAATTGACTTCTAGTTTTATGCATTTTAAAGTCATTAAACTCAAAAGTTATATATTACTCGTTGCTTATTTAAAAATAAAAAATAGGTTGTTCTTAATTATAAGCCCTAAAAAAAAAATTGTTTGAGGCTTCCCTTTACAAATTAATGAAAAATGACGCTCAAAAAACTTAATTGCTTTACAATTAGTTATGTAAATAAAAAGAAAATTACTTTGTTAATTATGTTATATCTTAATTAATCCGTAGTCCCATTGTGTCGGACGTAAAAAAGACGTGTTTTAAACGTCCTATACACGTTTTGGACGTCTTTTGAACGTCTTTTAAA